CTCAGGGTGGTCGTCGTTCGTATGTCGACCACGAGGCAGCGGCCATTTTAAATCATGCGAACGCTCAGCGGTGTTTGGCTCTATTTCTATGGAACTGAAAACGGACACTTTTTCTGCCGAACACCGCTGAAACAAGGGAACGCCTGGCTGCCTCCACGAAAGCATGCGAACACCGGCCGTTCGGGAGATTGAGAGCATACAAAAGACTTAACCCAGATAGCCTTCCCATGGAGTCATTCGTATACCGAAAGACTGTAAGAACTTTGACTCCATGGCGATTGAACTATGTGTGTGGGATCTGAGCGCTATTCGCTAATAATATGCACTCAGATCCAGGCTATCTGGGGACATGTAATACTAACGGGAAATGTTCAGTTTTCATGTAGTTATGTATTTTTATGTCTTTTATTATTTTATGTTTAAGATGGCGACTGTCCTTGTCCTGGAGTTAATTGAGTTACTTGGTAATTAACTCCAGGGCAGAGGGGAGGGAATCATAATGCACTGTGGGTAAAATATGTGACTGTGTGTCTGAAATGTCCTTCTATCTGTCTGTAGTTTAAGTCTCCCATTTGGTCCCCTAGGGGAGTGTCCACCAGGTGGGAGACCTGCATAAATACGGGCAGGTAGCCCACAGTAAAACCAGATCCTGTTTGACCCTCAATGCGGAGCTTCTGTCTCGTTATTGGGGGGATTTCTTCTTCACGTTTAGAGACTGCTGGATGGAACAAAAGCCGTTTTGGGGATATTATTGTTCGACGGTTACCAGCAGTTCGTATATTGCCGTTCGGGAGTTTGGAGCCGTTCGTGGATTTCGATCGGGAGATTGACGCTTCCCCTGCATTTGGTTCGTGTGTTACAGAGTAAGCGAACGGAGACGGTACTGCAGCCGGGGAAGGTTTACTAAACGGCGGTTTTGCCTAAAGACACTGGAAGTGTCTTAACACCATTGACTTGTGTTGGAGACTTTGTGGGGAAAGGGGTACCTACAATTACATGTGGTGGGAATGGCAAGGTTGAAGCAGTTCTGAGAAGGTATTGGAGACTTGTTGATCAGGGTATTTGGAAGACCATTTGACCGAAATCCCTGGCTAAGCCAGTGGTGGTGCTGCCGGCTCATTCACAGAAATTACTCAATAAAATAACGTTGGCTTCTTGAAGAGCCCTGGTGGCAAAGTGGCTGTGTAACACAGGATATGTGAAAACTATTTTATGGATATACACGACGAGTTCATAATGTTATGAGACTATTTGAAAAAGTGTGGGCCCTATGGGAGAGAAGCAGCAGGTGCTGGGTCATGTCCAGTGTCCATGTTATCTGCCAGGCCTACCTATCCTGGGCAGCTTTCATACGTAAGGGCAAATTGTATTTCAAGTTCTAGGTTGTCATATTGGTTCTTGTATGTTCTTGTGTGTTGATAATCATGTCACCAGAAAAACATATGTTAAAACTGGAAGATTGTAATAGCATGAAATGTTAAGGACTTTTTTACTTACATAAGGGTATAAGAGTACAGCAGGAGCACAGTCCTATATGTTCAAACAAAAAGATAACAAGTAGAACTCTGGTGAATACCACTGGGCAATGCAATGGGCTACTGCAAATGGTCAGTTAGGGCATTCTGGCATATAGAAACAATCAGTACATGCGGACATGGAGCTTAGTAAGAACAGTGTTAAAGCAGCTTTGCTGTAAGCTAGAAACATAGGATTAACCGATGCCCAAAGTTGGTAGACCCCAGCCGCCACCTGAAAAACACTACTCATTGGACTACTCTTCCATACCTTGGCCCTGGTCATGTGCTCATTGGCACAATGCTTACAATATTTTCTGCACTCTCTGTAAACGCTAATCCAGGATTTGACATCTAACAGCTACTATCTGGTAAAACACACCAATATATGTCTCATGTTGTCACCCCATAGCTATACTTACTGATCTGAGAGCTACCTTCCATGTTCTAAGCAGGTTTTGGGACTTCTCCACACCTACAGCAATGTGTCCATGACACATACCAGCTAGCGATTCCTTTATTTACCTTTCATATCAATACATAAGTGGGCCATGTACAACTCAGCATCAATCTGCAATGCCAAGTAACATGTCATGTGCATTCTAGATCATCATTCCCACCCGTCACACAACTGGGTTTTCCTTCTTCTCTCCTGCTGTACATGGTCAAAATGAAATAAGTAGAAAATAAATTATTTGGGAACACAGATAAGAACCATTCGGCCCATCTAGTCTGCCCAACTTTCTAAATACTTTCATTAGTCCCTGGCCTTATCTTATAGTTAGGATAGCCTTATGCATATCCCACGCATGCTTAAACTTTTTTACTGTGTTAACCTCTACCACTTCAGCTGGAAGGCTATTCCATGCATCCACTACCCTCTCAGTAAAGTAATACTTCCTGATATTATTTTTAAACCTTTGTCCCTCTAATTTAAGACTATGTCCTCTTGTTGTGGTAGTTTTTCTTCTTTTAAATATAGTCTCCTCCTTTACTGTGTTGATTCCCTTTATATATTTAAATGTTTCTATCATATCCCCCCTGTCTCGTCTTTCCTCCAAGCTATACATGTTAAGATCCTTTAACCTTTCCTGGTAAGTTTTATCCCGCAATCCATGAACCAGTTTAGTAGCCCTTCTCTGAACCCTCTCTAAGGCATCAATATCCTTCTGAAGATACGGTCTCCAGTACTGTGTACAATACTCCAAGTGAGGTCTCTGAATTCAGTATTCTGTAACACAAGCAAAGCATCACTCAGTAACAAAGTGTATTGCACAATAACACAATGTATCAAACAGTAACACAATGCCACACAGTAACACACAATAACACAATGAATCAGACAGTAACACAAAGAAATCACACAGTGACACAATGTATCACACAGTTACATAATGTATCAAACAACAACACACAATGTATCACACAATAACACATGCAATGTGTCAAACAGTAACACATGTATCAAACAGTATCACACACAATGTATTACACAACAACACAATGTATTGGACAATAACACACAATGTGTCAAGCAGTAACATGTATCACACAGTAACACACACAATGTATTACACAATAATACAATGTATCAGACAGTAAAACACACAATGTATCACACAATAATACAATGTATCAAACAATAACACACACTGTATCACAGAAACACATTGTATTACACAATAACACAACGTATCAGAGAGTAACACAATGTATCAAACAATAACACACAATGTATCACACAGTACCAGTTAGTGTATTACAGAATACAATTTATCAGTCAGTAACACAATGTATCACACAAAAACACAATGTATCAGACAGTAAAACAATGTATCAAACAACAACAACAAACAAACAATGTATCACACAATAACACAATGTATCAGACAGTAACACAAAGAACTAACACAGTAACACACTGTATCACACAGTAACACAATGTCTCAAACAACAACGCACAATGTATCACACAATAACACGTGCAATTTGTCAAACAGTAACACACGTATCACACAGTAACACACAATGTATCACCCAATAAATCAATGTATCGAACAATAACACACACTGTATTACAGTAACACATTGTATCACACAATAACACAATAAAACACAATGTATCACAAAATAACACAATGTATCCCGCAATAACACACCATGTATCACACAATAACACAATGTATTACACAGTACCAGTTAATAAATTACAGAATAACACAATGTAACAGACAGTAACACAATGCATCACACAGTAACACAATGTATCAGACAATAAAACAATATATCAGACAGTAACAGTTAATGAATTACAGAATAACACAATGTATCAGAAAATAACACAATGTATCAGACAGTAACACAATATATCAGACAGTAACACAATCTATCAGACAGTAATGCAATGTATCAGACAGTAACAGTTAAAGAATTACAGAATAACACAATGTATCACACAGTAACACAATGCATCAGGCAGTAACACAATGTAACAGACAGTAACACAATGCATCACACAGTAACACAATGCATCAGGCAGTAACACAATGTAACAGACAGTAACACAATGCATCACACAGTAACACAATGTATCAGACAGTAACACAATGTATCAGACAATAACACAATATATCAGACAGTACCAGTTAATGAATTACAGAATAACACAATGCATCACACAGTAACACAATGTATCAGACAGTAACACAATGTATCAGACAAAAACACAATATATCAGACAGTACCAGTTAATGAATTACAGAATAACACAATGTATCAGACAGTAACACAATGCATCAGACAGTAACACAATGCATCAGGCAGTAACACAATGTAACAGACAGTAACACAATGCATCAGACAGTAACACAATGCATTAGGCAGTAACACAATGTAACAGGCAGTAACACAATGTAACAGACAGTAACACAATGCATCAGACAGTAACACAATGCATCAGGCAGTAACACAATGTAACTGACAGTAACACAATGTATCAGACAATAACACAATATATCAGACAGTAACAGTTAATGAATTACAGAATAACACAATGTATCAGAAAATAACACAGTGTATCAGACAGTAACACAATATATCAGACAGTAACAGTTAAAAAATTACAGAATAACACAATGTATCACACAGAAACACAATGTATCAGACAGTAACACATGTTGTATATATTTTGCTCAGTGATATCAATCAGCCTCAGTTAGAAGCCAGAAGCCTTTACAAGAATGTCAAGAAGAAAATCAGATCTATCCAGTCAGTTCCTGATACAGCGGGATATCACAGGTTACACAATCACCGAGTGTCACTGAGCTGCAACTACACCCAAACCAACACTGATTCAAAACCCAAACCAAGCATAGGATATATCAACAGTACTCCTACACCCAAAACAAGCATGGGGTATATTGACAGTATTCCTACACCCAAACCAAGCATGGGCTATATCAACAGTATTCCTACCCCCAAACCAAGCATGGGGAATTCCTACACCCAAACCAAGCATGGGGTATATCGACAGTATTCCTACACCCAAGCCAAGCATAGGTTATATCAACAGTATTCCTACACCCAAACCAAGCATGGGGTATATTGACAGTATTCCTACACCCAAACCAAGCATGGGGTATATCAACAGTATTCCTACACCCAAGCCAAGCATAGGGTATATCAACAGTATTCCTACACCCAAACCAAGCATGGCGTCTATCGACAGTAAACCTACACCCAAACCAAGCATGGTGTCTATCAACAGTATTCCTACACCCAAACCAAGAATGGGGTATATTGACAGTATTCCTACACCCACACCAAGCATGGGGTATATTGACAGTATTCTTACACCCAAACCAAGCATGGGGTATATTGACAGTATTCCTACACCCAAACCAAGCATGGGGTATACTGACAGTATTCCTACACCCAAACCAAGCATAGGGTATATTGGCAGTATTCTTACACCCAAACCAAGCAAGGGGTATATTGACAGTATTCCTACACCCAAACCAAGCATGGGATATATTGACAGTATTCCTACACCGAAACCAAGCATGGGGTATATTGACAGTATTCTTACACCCAAACCAAGCATGGGGTATATTGACAGTATTCCTACACCCAAACCAAGCATGGGGTATATCAACAGTATTCCTACACCCAAACCAAGCATGGGGTATATTGACAGTATTCCTACACCCAAATAGTGATGTACCGAACGGTTCGCCGGCGAACGGTTCCTGGCGAACATAGCATGTTCGCGTTCGCCACGGCGTGCGAACATATGCGCGGTTCGACCCGCCCCCTATTCGTCATCATTGAGTAAACTTTGACCCTGTACCTCACAGTCAGCAGACACATTCCAGCCAATTAGCAGCACAGCCTCCCTAGCAGACCCTCCCACCTACTGGACAGCATCCATTTTAGATTCATTCTCAAGCTGCATGCTTAGTAAGAGGAGGGAAAGTGTAGCTGCTGTTCATAAGATAGGGAAAAGCATAGCTAGGTTAGGGATAGGGGTATGCTTTTTTTGGATTTTTTTTTTCTATGTAATGTAAATGCACTTAGTTGTCTGCCACTGCTGCCAGCTTCTGTGTCAGGCTCACAGTGCCCATTTCCCCAGTCAGTGCCACCAATTACATCTGGTGTCACAATAGCTTGGATTTAAAAACAAAAAACTTTTTTCACTGTTATAGATTGAATAGCAGTCAGTTGTCTGCCACTGCTGCCAGCTTCTGTGTCAGGCTCACAGTGCATACTGTGCCCATTTCCCCAGTCAGTGCCACCAATTACATCTGGTGTCACAATAGCTTGGATTTAAAAACAAAAAACTTTTTTCACTGTTATAGATTGAATAGCAGTCAGTTGTCTGCCACTGCTGCCAGCTTCTGTGTCAGGCTCGCAGTGCATACTGTGCCCATTTCCCCAGTCAGTGCCACCAATTACATCTGGTGTCACAATAGCTTGGATTTAAAAACAAAAAACTTTTTTTACTGTTATAGATTGAATAGCAGTCAGTGTCCTTAAAGCGGGTGTGTTACGCTAACAGTGGATACGGTGACCATTGCCACCACTTAGATCTGGTGACACAAAGCTTGTATTTAAAAAAAAACAACCACTTTTTTCACTGTTATATATTGAATAGCGGTCAGTGTCCTTAAAGCGGGTGTGTTACGCTAACAGTGCATACGGTGACAAGTGCCACTAATTAGATCCTGTGTCACAATAGCTTGGATTTAAAAACAAAAAACTTTTTTCACTGTTATAGATTGAATAGCAGTCAGTGTCCTTAAAGAAGGTGTGTTACGCTAACAGTGGATACGCTGACAAGTGCCACTAATTAGATCTGTGTCTAATGGTTTGGTTAAAAAAAAATAATCTTTTTTTTCTGTTCTAGATTGAATAGCAGTCAGTGTCCTTAAAGCGGGTGTGTTACGCTAACAGTGGATACGCTGACAAGTGCCACTAATTAGATCCTGTGTCACGGTAGCTTGGATTTAAAAACAAAAAACTTTTTTTACTGTTATAGATTGAATAGCAGTCAGTGTCCTTAAAGCGGGTGTGTTACGCTAACAGTGGATAAGCTGACAAGTGCCACTAATTAGATCTGGTGTCACAATAGTTTGGATTTAAAAACAAAAAACTTTTTTTACTGTTATAGATTGAATAGCAGTCAGTATCCTTAAGCGGGTGTGTTACGCTAACAGTGGATACGCTGACAAGTGCCACTAATTAGATCTGGTGTCACAATAGTTTGGATTTAAAAAAATAATCTTTTTTCACTGTTATAGATTGAATAGCAGTCAGTGTCCTTAAAGCGGGTGTGTTACGCTAACAGTGGATACGCTGACAAGTGCCACTAATTAGATCACAGATTGTCACAATAGTTTTAGTTTAAAAAAATAAATCTTTTTCACTGTTATAGATTGAATAGCAGTCTCAGTGTCCTTAAGCGGGTGTGTTACGGCTAACAGTGGATCACAGCTGACAAGTGCTGCCACTAATTGAATCCTGTGTCACAATAGTTTGGATTTAAAAAAATAGCAAATGCTTTTCACTGTTATAGATTGAATAGCAGTCAATTGTCCCTTAAAAGCGGTGTGTGCAGCTAACAGTGGATAAGCTGACAAGTGCACTAATTAGATCCTGTGTCACAATAGTTTGGATTTAAAAAAAAATAATCTTTTTCACTGTTATAGATTGAAGATAGCAGTCAGTGTCGTAAGCGGGTGTGTGCATTAACAGTGGATCTGTGACTAAGTGCCACTAATTAGATCCTGTGTCACAATAAGCTTGGATTTAAAAAAAATAATAATCTTTTTCACTGTTATAGATTGAATAGCAGTCAGTGTCCTTAAAACAGGTGTGTTAAGCTAACAGTGGATGCAGCTGACAGGTACACTAATTAGATCTGGTGTCACAATAGTTTGGTTAAAAAAATAATCTTTTTCACTGTTATAGATTGAATAGTCAGTGTCCTTAAGGGTGTGTTGCATGCCCAACAGTGAATCTGTGACAAGTGCCACTAATTAGATCTGGTGTCACAATAGTTTGGATTTAAAAAATAATATTTTTCACTGTTATAGATTGAATAGCAGTCAGTGTCCTTAAAGCGGGTGTGTTACGCTAACAGTGGATACGCTGACAAGTGCCACTAATTAGATCCTGTGTCACAATAGCTTGGATTTAAAAACAAAAAACTTTTTTTACTGTTATAGATTGAATAGCAGTCCGTGTCCTTAAAGCGGGTGTGTTACGCTAACAGTGGATACGCTGACAAGTGCCACTAATTAGATCCTGTGTCGCAATAGTTTGGATTTAAAAAAAATAATAATCTTTTTTCACTGTTATAGATTGAATAGCAGTCAGTGTCCTTAAAGCGGGTGTGTTACGCTTACAGTGGATCTTGTGACAAGTGCCATAATTAGATCCTGTCACAATAGCTTGGATTTAAAAACAAAAAACTTTTTTTACTATTATAGATTGAATAGCAGTCAGTGTCCTTAAAGCGGGTGTGTTACGCTAACAGTGGATACGTTGACAAGTGCCACTAATTAGATCCTGTGTCACGATAGCTTGGATTTAAAAACAAAAAACTTTTTTTACTGTTATAGATTGAATAGCAGTCAGTGTCCTTAAAGCGGGTGTGTTACGCTAACAGTGGATACTGTGACAAGTGCCACTAATTAGATCTGGT